ACAAAAAAAAAAGAAAAAGAGCATTGGCCCTTTTTTATTTTTCTTACAACAACGACATACTTTACGTACGCGCAGCGTATGAAAGTCAACCACCATATATCTGTACGTGAAACGTAATAAAGACATGTTTGTGGAAAAATACATAGCCCATCGATCACTTATTGACTGGTCGGATATATCCTTAGAACGCCGGGTGCAATGTTATATAAATAATTAACATGTAGAAATGTGTACATTATTGCGATGATTATTGAGCAACATCACACAGGCGTTTCAATTTTTATGGAACTTCGTAGATTTGTACAATTGTCAAAAATAAAGGGTACATAGCTTTTTCAGCCGTGGAAACTTAAGTTTAGTAGTTAAGTTAACACTTAGACAACCGCCTAAAAAAGTTGTAACTATAATGTTTTTCATTAACTTTAATGGAAGCCATTTAAAAAATTTTATTAAAAATTGTGTTTTATAAAAGCAAAACGAGTGTTTAATTGCAAATAACTATAGCAAATAACGAAAGAAAAAATAATAAAATAAATGGCAATGCGTTGCTAAAGGAAACGTAGGAGGTCTCCTCATTCGGTTGACTAAGTGTTAAATAAGTAGATTTTTTATGTTATTTGCTCTAGATAAATTCCTTTATGTCTCAACATTTGAGACATAGATATTATGGCTAGCTACAGGTATTATTTAACACTAGAACTACCGAGTGTTTAATATGAATAATATGTAATCCTTATAAAAGTTCTAACATTAGGCATTTTTCTTATACATTCATTATAGTATTCAAATGAAAGTATTTATTTTTAAAGTGATTTTAAACATATTTAACACTTTTAAGGTATCAATAATTGCGAAATATACATACTGAAGCCCACCATTTTGCGGGGTGCGATATTCTAGTGTTAATTATAAAATTAGCGTATAATGTCTTATTTCATTTAATGTAGTATCAAGATTAAAAGAATTTATACAACATAGATATTACATGAATTAAATATGTATTACATTTTTCTTTAGAGCAGCGAAGATTTAAGTGAATAAAATTATTTGGTTTGGTTTAAAAAAATTAAGTGATTGATTCTTCTAATGCAGTAAGGTAATGGTGGTTTTTGACTACTTTCTAATAGCTTCGAAGGTGAAAATTGTCAGGGAGCTACGAAAAGTGCGTATCTCTTATTTTTGGCTACTTCAAAACTCTACGAAATTTCTACAATATCGGCAGGTCTTGGTTAAAATATTCATTATAAGAGTAATTAATAAAAGTAATAATATGTATAAAAATATAAATAATTATACGTATAGTATAATTTATAAGATACATGTATATATAAAATTGTTTATATTTCTGTAATATTATATTCCACAAATAGATTTTGCCATCTGTTTATTTTCACAAAATATATTAAGCATACGTAGTAGAAATGAAGTATATAAGATACTCTGTTCCCACTAACAAGCTTTATTTTGAGAATTATCGGTAAAGTAGAACACGATACCAAAATGGTATTACGAGGATTCCTTTAACTTCAGACTAAAAGTCCCATTAAGATACCTCCACGCGTTTGTGGTCTATATTTTAATTTTGTGCAAAGATAAGTCAGTACATAAATCACGAAATATGAGCACAAAACATAGATACGAACTACGAAGTCTGAACACAACTATCAGACAACAAATATAATTCATAAAATCATGACATCATAAATTGCAAACAACAATCACGCATTACAAACACGATGTTCTTATTTATAAATTACTGAGAAGTTAATTTTTTTTTATTATTATAACGTACATACATATTACTCCACGTACGACATATTCAACTTTTATTCTATAAGTACTTACATATACTACTGTTCGATAAAATTATAATAAAACAAGTAAAACGTAACATTTTTCAATTCTCTAAAGATCTAAAAGACGACAATTATTCGATACTGCATTTCAAATGATAATCCGTTAACAGTAATTTTTAAAGTATATTTAAACTTTTGAACTATGACGTACTTGTAAACATAAGTGAAGTCTGTTATTAGTCACATAATTTATCACAGTAAGAATATATATCTTATTAACATAAGATTGCAATGTGGTGTCAATATACTTTACTTGCAATATTTGTTGCATTATTGCAACCTTCTTCGCAAAACTTTTTATTACACAGATTTCACGAAGGTTTTAACAAACAATTACGCAGTCAAAATGAATTGCACAGCGCGGAATACAAATATCAGATTAAAACGATCGAATTGCCAGTATGTATTGATAATTTTTATTATTTAACTTCTAATTTTAATGTTGATTAAATTTAAATGATTTTTCTACTTGAATTTGGTAAATATTAATTGATGTATGTTAATACTTACAATAAAAAACCGGAATTTGAAGTTCTATTGTAATCTAGATAAATGTATTTTTATTTTATTCATACTTGATGACTAGGAGAAATAGACAAATTCTTTTATAGGTGGATCACTTTAGTTTTGCCGTAGAAGATACATTTAAATTAAGATACCTTATAAATGATACTTGGGCAGATGAAAAGGATGCAACAATTTTCTTCTATACTGGCAATGAAGGCAACATTGAAACCTTTGCTCAAAATACGGTAAGAACGAATGATAGAAATGGAATCATATTTTCAATGTGTCATGTTGTATTAAATATATGTTTTAGTATAAATAGTTTAATTTAGCATATAAATATATTACATGTACCCTTTTTCAATGTTACTATGTAATTTATCATAATTTCTACAATTCTGCTATTTAACTATCATGTCAAATATTACCTTCCCAGGGATTTATGTGGGACATTGCATCAGAATTTAAAGCATTATTAATTTTTGCTGAACATCGTTATTATGGAGATTCCATGCCATATGGTAATAAATCTTATAACGATTCTCAACATTTGGGCTATTTAACATCCCAACAGGCTTTAGCAGACTATGTTGACCTCATTCAATATTTGAGATCCACACCAAAATATACAGATAGCCCCGTAATTGTTTTCGGTGGTTCTTATGGTGGTATGCTTAGTGCATGGATACGTATAAAATATCCTCATATTGTACAAGGGTCAGTGACCAAAGCAATTTATAAAAATAATTATGCCTATATATAATTATACAATAAGCTATGTATATAATATATCTTATTGCATAAATTGTAAATATTATTTTAGAGCGATCGCAGCTTCAGCTCCCATCCTTCAATTTACTGGTGTTGTAACATGTGAAGCTTTTGCACGAATAATCAGATCAGATTATAAAGTATCTCATCCAAATTGTCCAATAAATATTAAAAAATCATGGAGTGTTATTAACAATATAACGTCAAGTGGTAATAAATTAATTTCCTTTTCTTTACTCTGTATAGTTAGACATATATTTGTATCATGTTTCTTAAAAAATAGTTTCTCTATTTTGATAGACAAAGGGAAAAAATGGTTATCGGACAATTGGAAATTATGTGAGCCATTGAAAAATGAAACTCATGTGAAACAACTAAAAGATTATTTAGAAGAAATATATACAAATCTTGCTATGGTGAATTATCCTTATGAAGCTAATTTCTTAGCACCGCTGCCTGCATATCCTGTAAATGTAGGTAGATTAACTTTTAACTTGGTATGAATTCATTGTTCCAAATTAAAAGAAAATCTGTTTACTTATTTTATGGTATAATTTTTTTATTTCTGTTAGGCTGTGTGTAATCATCTAAAAAATGAGTCGTTAGAAGGAACAGACTTACTACTAGCGATAAATAAAGCAATTAATGTATATACTAATTACACTGGCAAAACAAAATGTGTAGATTTGAATGATACTACACCAGAATTAGATGCTCTTGGTTGGCCTTATCAAGCTTGTACAGAAATGATAATGCCTATGTGTACAGATGGGATAAACGATATGTTTGAACCTGAACAATGGAATTTTAATGATTACGCTAAAGATTGTGAGAACAAATATTCTGTAAAACCACGGCCAAATTTAATTTGCGAACAATATGGATGTACAGATTTGTCAGCAGCGACAAATATTGTTTTCAGGTAGATATTCTTACCATCTCATTATTATGTTCCAAAAAGGTATTACCTAAACTGTTAGAAGTTTTTATCTTATTATATAAATATTTTGTTTGTTTAGTAACGGTTTGTTGGACCCATGGTCTAGTGGTGGAGTACTAAAGAATTTATCTTCATCTGCAATTGCAATAATAATTCCTGAAGGTGCGCACCATCTTGATTTAAGAGGCAAGAATGAAAATGATCCATATAGTGTTGTTTTAGCACGAAAGTATCACCGTTTTTATATTAAACAGTGGATCAAGGAATATCGTAAGGAAAAAAGGAACTTGGTTTATTAAATTTTCTTTGTTTTTAAAATGTAATATGAACTTTTGATAAAATATATTATAAACAAGTTTTCAGATAAAATAAACACATTACAATCACTCATCTTTATTTCATAAATTATACACGTAAAAAAGCAAACATGCATACAATAATGATTACAAATTTTTTAACTATTTTGATTATTTTAAGTAACAAGCAAAACGTATTCAAAATAATATAAGCATTTTATTATCACAGTAATTAAAGAATGCACGTGCTTTAATATAACTTAAAGCGCAGACAGATAAAACTGTAGATTATTTTTATCACACAAAATATTTTAAATGCATATAAACTACTATTTTACTCTTACAACATCTATTTCTTAATTATTTTTTTATGATTTAAATCATATTTGAATTAATAATCAACTAAGCATTAGATATGAAAATGTAAGTAATTACTTTTTTCTCTTAAATAATTACTTTGAAATACTTTGACTAAAAAATCCTATAGAAATACATGCTACAGTATTATCGTCTTGCTAAAAAATCTAGTTCTTATCAAAGTATATAAGAATGGCAATGTAAAAAGACATAAGTTCGCTAACAATTATTTTATAAATATTGCATTCCCATTTTTAAATCATATGTACCTAATATCTCCATACGGAGCGAAACATTTTATTTTTTATCGCACAGGTACAGTACATAATTTCCTCTCTAAAGTCTTCAGATCAATCTTCTATTTAGTAATAGTAATAATTTATATTGCATGCTATTGTATATGAAAATGTACTTTCTATGATTTTGTATTCATCATAAAATTAATTTTGGACATCTAATATTTAACAAACATCACAGAGAGATATGAATGCACGAAAAACAATTATAGCAAATCACTTCGGATATTAAAATTCTAATAACTAATAACGTAGTCATTTGATCTGAAACAAGATTTGTTTCTACTAAATTTAGTTATAATTTCTGTTAAATTTTTTCTGCGACTCCTTTTTGCATTTATGTAACACGATTTCATGTACGTTATCATTCAGTACAAATTAAAATTCAGATTCTTTTTCTCATTATTATAATTACATATTATATAGCTTCTTAATAATGATATCGAGATATCGTTTAACCTTCTATATAATATTTAAAATGGGATTGAACGTAAGTGACTTAAAATACGAGTAAATGTATAATTACATGTAATACAACGTTTCTCGTACAAGTTGTATAAACAAAAATAAATTAATATAATACTCTGAAAAAATGTTTAAAAAAAGGTACTCTGTGAAAAATAAATATCTCTATCATTTTATAGTTTAAATATACTTTTAATGCGGAGTACGTTTATGTGCAGTAGTTGGCCTTGGAACTCCAGATCGACCTCTTATTTTTTTCGGTTGCACAAAAGTATTGTCAATTCCAGTATTGTAAGATAGATAGATATTTGACATATCTGGTTGTGTTTGCTATAAATAATTGATGGTATAAATATTATTAAATCTACTTACCATATGAGATCAAACTAAAAAATACATACATCTTTAGTGCCTCCTACGGGCGGTGTTGCCTGTGCCTTGCGCATATTATTACCTGTATATGCTACACATTTTAGTTGCCATTCTCCAATGTCTTCATTCCAATGAACGTATCTTTCAATCATTGTCTATAATGAATGTAATTTACATTTTCAAAATTGAGTATTTCAGATTGAGACTGCGGTTACAGTGGATGCATATTCGAACAAACCAGTGTTCTGATGAATAAACATATGAAAATTCCTGTGTATAAGCTCTCAGTAATTTGTATGCATATTTGATTGCTTTGACATATTGAGTTCATCCGAATGTGCATCCATTATGATTACAGCGTAATACATTTACATAACATTTTACATACTTGATATTGAACAGGGATGTAACTATTTACTATTAATTCTTGAAGTTGTAATTCCCTTCCAATACCTCTGACACCTTCTAACAACCCTTCCATTTCTCTTTGATGCTCCTGTTGTAAATCAGATAATTCTGCTTTTACAGACATTAACATTGTATAGACTCTAGCTAATTTTTTTGTTTTCCCAGCTGCTTCTTCTTGTAGAGATGAATATTTTTCTTCTATATCGATTCGTTCAGCTTCTTTCGCTTCGATAGCTTTTTTAAGTTGTTCTTCTCTGCTTTTACGTTGTTCAAGTTCAATTGCTGCTGCAGCTAATAATTGTTCTTGAGCTTCAGCTTTTTCTAACAAGTTCTCACCGCCAACTAATATTTTGTTTTGTAAATTTTGCATTTTCTCTCGCAATGCTTCTTTTTCGCTCCTATAAAATATTAACATTTCGTATATACCTTACAATTGAAATTAATTTCTACTAACTTACTGAGTTCTTTTTAATTCTATAACGTCCTTGTCATCTGGGCTTTTGTCCTCTCTTTCAGCTTTGTCTGTCTTTTCGGAGGAATCTGCATCTCTATCTTCTAACTCTTCCATTGTTAATATTTGACTCCTTCTACGCCTTGCTTTTTTCTCTTGCTTAGTTTCTCCTGTTTCTTCAGAATCTTCGGACTCATCTTCAGATTCGGAGATTTCTGCACCGTTCTCTTCTAATTGTTTACGCAATTGTTCAATTTCCACTTGAAATTGACGAAGTAAAGCATCTTTTGGATCTTCATTAATCCTCGCTCTATTTTTAATATTTTTAGCACGGTTTGCGTAACGAAGTGTGCTTATAGTTTCATCATAATTTATATCTGCCGGACTTACATTTGCACACTACATTTAAATATTATATTAATCACAATATTTAATTATTCGCTATCATTATGAAAAAATAAAAATTTTACCATTAATGTTTTTGAATTGCCACCCAATGAGTCTTGAAGCAATCTTGTTAATTTCGAATTTCTGTAAGGCACATGAGAACTTTGACCATCAACTAATGCAGATATTACATTACCCAATGTTGAAAGCGACAAATTAATTTTTGTTGCTTCTCTTAAACGGACTCCAGAAGCTTTTGTTTTACTTTGTCTTTCTGAACCCTAAAGTAATACAAAAATTTAATACCTGTGTTTTAGAAAAATATAGAATATCAATAATAAAGATTACATACAGCTAAGTCAACTAAATGTAGCTTGCCCATTTTAACATGTTGTTCACCATCTTCTCCAAGCTGACTAGATTCAACTGTAATTGTGAATATTGCATGGGATCTAGAACTTGAAACATTCATTGCTGTAGCTCCCACAACACCTATTAAAATAAGTTATTGTTACTTGTTACAATAGATAAAATGATGTATGTAAACTATAAAATAATATAATTTTTGTAACTCTAAAAACAGGACATATGATTCTACAAATGTACTTACGGTTCTTATTTCCAAGAGACATTATTCGATCTAAATCATCCGCATTATTAACAACGTAACCGCTAAGATCTTTGACAAACACTCCAATGTCAGGTCTTTCTTTCACCTCCAATCTTGTATTTTGGTCTTTACCTAATAGATCTCTAACTTCTTCATTATAAATCTCTAAGTACGTTGCCCGTACAAGGAATCTGTCAATAAAACATTTTGTTTCCAACATTTACTGAATTAAGGAATTTCTCGGATATACAGCTAATGGCTATATCACAAAAATGAGTTTCTTAAACAAAATACACTTACTTCTGATTGTCATGAGCTTTAGCTATGAATCCAAAGATATGTGCAAAGCTGTTTGGAATAATACCTCTAAGCTGCGGAGATGTTTTCGCTCCTGACATGGTATAAGTTTTACCAGTGCCAGTTTGCCCATATGCGAATATAGTTCCATTATATCCTTGTAGAACTTTATCAACGATAGGTCTCGCTGTTTCATTGTAAACATCAACCTGTGTCGAATCAGTATCAAAGACGGCATCGAAGGAGAAAACTTTTGGTGGTTCCCCTTGAGCAGCATTGGGATTTTCAACAATTATTTCACTATTTATCGTATCAACGCGCAGTATATTTTTACAATGCCCATCCAATTCCTTTCCATTTAAAGGTCGAACGCGGACCACAACCCTAACATTTTCTATTTCCCCGAGTTCCGTTGTACTGTCCTAAATCAACAATATTATTTTAATAATCACTAAAAACATGCATAAGTAAAACAATATATGAATAGAAATAAACGTATACTTCGATGTATAAATATCTTTTTTCGATCATTAAAAAGTAATACTGACACGGTTTGACAGATAGAACTGTCAAATAAATACTTAAGAATATTTACTGTCTTAAGTAAATATTTTTGAAACATATGATGATACTAACTTCGGTTCCCGGCATTGCAGCTCCGTTTCTGTTTAAAGTCACATAAAATCTCAATTCAGAGCATAGTATTTGATCTCAAAACACTGGGTGATACGATACTGTAGCAGACGACCTCCGTAAACAAATGGATCGATTTGTAAGTACAGGATGATTGCTGCAAGTCAGTCACGTCATCTGTGTTTCGTATAGTTGAAAACTCAGCGAATAACTTATCGACACTAAGAAGTTTCTTACAAATTTTTTTACTGTGCAAAGTGATTTTAACTTCACATTATTAATAACTATATTAATCTGTACTAATCTTTTTGTTAGAATTTTTTTATGACTAACAAAAACTAAGCTAAATAAATACATTTCTATCATATTCTAAACCCTAATGTTTTAAATATTAATTAAATATTGCATTTAAATTGTATTTTATACGGTATATTTAAGTTTAAATAATTTTAATAACGAAGACATTATTGCGTGTATTCTAACTGCATTTTAAAATTATCCATGAAAATTATACATCGAACACATATTTTATGTGTACACTCATAAAATATCTTTTAATAATAAAAGACAATGCATCCTCTATACTGTATTTATTTTTTTTATTATATTTGTACATATTATATTTTTATTTATAATAAATATTATATTTATACTTCACTATATATTTATTATAATATTAAAATTTTATTTAATTCACTGTAGAAACAACGAATGGATATATAAAAATAAAATAAATGTTTATGAAAAATTATATTTAAATTTGCTAAACATGAAACAAACACGACGGGTTCGAATGGTCCTTGCATTTGTTCTACGATCGACTGCTACACGATCCGACAATCGAGGGTTAATAATATATAAGTTGACCTTCACGGAGCTCCATTTCACTTCCGCGAAAGTAAATTTCACGTTGGTCACTTTTGAAATCATAAGTCTTCTAGGTGATATAATCAATAACGGTATAAGACCACATTAAAGTAATAAAATACTATCTTGATTTTTCTTTTTAATCCATTTATCTGCAGGTCTTAATAAACTTTTACTGTCCTTGTTTACAAAAGTACCTCGTGAATGTGCACTTTCGCAGTATTTCACGATTCGATGAAGACGAAGAAGTCTATTAGAAGGTACTGACTAGTTAGGAATGATTAATAGTAGTTCAAATCCTAAGAGACACTTAATCTAAACAAATTACATTATTTTAACCTTTGGGACTGTTCTTGAGACTACCATTTGTTACTTTAAATATTTTTAAATTACTAATGACATGTGTAGTTCAACATTTTGACCAAGTTAAATATTTCAAGAAATATTTTAAAATTACATAAATTTTCGTATAGGAATACCAGACAAATATTAATAAATGCGAGTTGAAGGATAACGAAAGTTCATGGAACCATAAAATTACATAGTAACTAACAAGATAATTTCAATAACCAATTAACTAGAAAGAAGATAATATTTTTTATTCTAATTTAACAATATCACAGTGAAAACAAATGTATCGATAAAACGGACATTGAGATCTTACCTCAATCTTTTCAGATTTAATTGAAATCTAACTGACAATTCACATGAAATAAAAATATTCATAGATTTCAATACTCAATGCATCTTATAAAATAATGACTTTTTTCCACAATCAATAAACGATCATTTACTTCATATAAGGAAACAAAGAAATGATACCTCTTATCCTACAGTTGCAGTAAGTTTCGAGGTTCATTAACCCCTTGTTCTATGATTTCCTTCACAACTGTGCTTGGTAAAACTGTTATAACGTTGATAATTCAGTATAAAAAGCAAAGAATTCAATGATTATTTTGTGTCTACGTTTACTCTAAAGGTAGGAGATTGATGACAGGTCAGTAATATTTCATTTACACAAAAAATAAGTTAACGAACATTTTCATTACGAGTTTGACTCCATGTTATAGGAGAAATGATTAACACTCAACACGATCAGTGCCGCGTGTACCACATATGGCACACGCCAATTTTTCTAAGAAAATATTTTTAAGAGACACATGGTGACGGATAGTGGTACACGTTACAAAGCAGTGAAAACGTAAAGAAACGATATTAAAATATATATAAATTACCAAAAACTTGAATATAATGTAATATTTTATTCAAAAAATCAATACAATTCATAAGCAAAATATAACCATTTCCGATGATATGGAACGTATTAACAGAAGGTTAAAATATAAGGTTTGTATATTTTTCTTCAATTCCGAGAATTTTTGAGAAAATAATATAAACCTGTAAACATGTTTGTAAATCATTGCTGTTTTATAAAATTAGTATCATTATAAAAATTCTATCGCATTCACATTTTTATTACGCGAAAATGATAACATTTAATTCTTATAAAAATTGTGACAATAGATTGTTTTCGATTTTTTCACATATTTATTTTAGTATTCATTTATTTTTAAAATCATTTCGGATATTTAACATTTTTAAGATAAATAAGAAAACTGAAACCCGCCATTTTGACAAATATTGAAAATTATCAGATTCAATGAAATTTTCATTACGAATCTGACACGATATCATAGGTGAAGGGGTTAACATTTTCCATAAAAATGAACATTAGAATTTATTTTTAACACTAAAACTACCGAGCATTTATTAGGGTTAATGTGTAATTCTTATAAAGATTGCAACAACACATTTTTTACGATTCCTTCAGATATTCGTTATCAAAATCCTTTCGGATACTGAATACTTTTAAAATATCAATAATTACAACATACGAAAACTGAAACTAGTTATTTTGACGGCTAGTTCTACTATTAAACCTTTATTGCATTCCATGGCCAATCAGAAACATAATTTGAAACGTTCTATAATTTAATAAACATCTTTTTTATTTTGTTCTTGTATGTGTATGAAGTTCCTATACGGCAACAATCATAAAATCCAATAAATAACATTGCTTATTAATATTTTATTATTAATGTCATTATCACACCAACATTTAAATAGAATAATAGCCACATATCCAGTTAACTGCGTTTGACGAATATACACGTCATCTTAACCCATTCACCTACAATATCGTGTTAGACTAGTGACGAAAATTTTAAATCAACTTTGAAAAATCTAGCTGTCATTTATTCTTTTTAAAATATAAATTAAATATTACTCCTTAATTATCAATCGTTCACCTTTGGACTAAATATGGACATAGAATGAGCATCAGAAATGTTTCTTTTCCTACTTAATTATTAACGATAAAGTAGTTGAATCGATCAAAGTCAAGAAATAAATTATAAGCCAAGGGGTTAAAGCTTGAAATGACACTATATAATTTTTTCAACGATAAATTCCTTATTTTTCAGATAAACATGTAATTCTTCTTCGTTTTGCTTTGGTTTCTCATTAAAGTATAGCCCAGGTGCATTCGTTCTGCGTTTGACGAGTACACAGTTCATCTTTTGTTTTCATTGCGCGCAAAACCATAGATTTTTCAAACTAAACTCCACAGTTAACAGGACACATTTTTTCTCAGCTCCCCATAAAAGTTCACGCAACAGAATAATCCTTTTTTTCTTTTATTTCGTAAACGATCCCGAAGTTTCGGAAGGTGGTGGCGACGAATGCCCAATTTACGGAGACAATCGCCGGGTGAAAATTCCATGCATATGCGTCGCGAACAATAGGGTGGAACGAATCCCCCCTCTTTATAGCGTGTGTATGCACACGGTGGTTCCCCTCAGTAACTGGTGCCCTGGAACCCCGACGCATCTCCCCACCTATATAGAAAGAGTACTCGTTTGAGGCGAAGCAGCAGCTGACGACCGTAACAATGCGTTCTCTGTACGCGAGAGCAATATGCGCCGCACGGGGTTATGGGAGAAGACGGTGAACTTCGTCGCGCGTACGCTACTAGCCGCTAGATTACCGGTGTTACAGCGATGTAAAGCCAGCAGGACTCGCTGCCATCAGGTAAGGACTTACTATCTGGTTTCGCCGCGGTATCGATCTACCATAGTTTCACGCGAGGGTGACCGGAGTTTTAAATAAAGGAAGTGTCCAATTTCGCGACGAAAATACGAGCTTTTTTCATACATCGAATCCGTCGACTCGAAACTAAACGCGGATGGTACTGGCTACTGGAATAATACGAGTGCTTCTGTTTTAATTTGTATGGTTGTGTACGAATTGTGGATTGTTCGATTTTAATGTGTTTAACGTGTTTGCTATGGTGGTCGCTGGCGATCGTTTCTGAATCGCTTGGAAACGATTGCAATAGGAACATTGATGCATTAAATGACAATATAATATTTAAAGGAAATAATAAACGTTGGATAAAAATGCTTAGTAACGTAAGTGAGGAGATAGTGGTGTAACGTAAGAACTGTGATACCAGATCGTTAACCTGTTAACTGTGGAATTTACTTTCGAAAATCTCTTATTGTACGCGCAATAAAATAAAAACATGAAGCGTTTACTCGTCAAACACAGGATGAATGCACCTAGGGTATATTTTAAAGAGAAACTAAAGCAAAATAAGGATGAATTACATGTTTATCTGGAAAAATATGGAATTCATCGTTGAAAGAATTAGTAGCATTTCAAGCTTTAAGGTGACGTGTATACTCCTCAAACGCAGTTAACTGGTTAATAATTATTTCTAATACCATTTATCTTTGCTGTGGAATAATACGTGGGGGATATATAAAAGCGCGCAAAATGACCGTGGCAGTCAGCGTGTTGGAATAGCAACACTGGAAAATAGAAAATGGTGTTCGTTAAGGTGACTTCGTGATGGGCACTTTCTTTTTGATCTTAGTGATTCCTACACAGCTCAATGTTGGTGGTACGATGCTAGTCGAATGGGCGCCATTCACTTAATGACTAGACAAAATTGTACCTTCGAGGTTCGATGAGTGGGCATTTTTGTTGCAAGGAAAAACAGTTTTGTAAATTCGTAGGGTGTTATTATGGTTTCTTTAGATATTCGTTTTACGGGTTTGAATATACGCGCGTTTGTGCAATTATGTTTTTATTGGCGTGTGTTTATGCATTTCTTTTTTTAATTGTACACCAGTTAGACAGTTTCGATGGAAGAAAACACTTTAAACTCGTTTGTTAATCTCTTCTCATTCGCATGTAAGCAGGACACTTTATCATGAAACCTGTTATGTCGAGTTAGGAACAACTTTACGGTACTTACGGAAGTCGTAGTAATGACAGTTTCATCCTTATATTGGAAAGAAATTTCAGCCAGTAAAACCAAGGGTCTTTAATCAGTAGATCATTGAATATTGTTCAGAATTTATCTAACGCAAATATTAAACTTTCAATATTATCTTCGAGTGGGATTAGAGTAGAAAATGATTCATATAACAATGATAGAATCGATCATATCTTATCAGAAGAATAGAAAGGAATCTTGTATGTTATACAATATTTGTAAAAGAAACAAAAGATACGTTACTTTTATTATTACTCTCTAATAAAATACACATCTACGCTCGCAACATATTTCACTCCATTTTTACATACAGAAAGTTTAAATGAAATAAAATTTATTACAAGCTAAATTAATAGCAAGCATTCTGAATTGATTGAAAAGTAAATAACTACGGGATATAGTTATATTTTCCAATAAATTATTACCATGTCCATAGTAAAAGTAACAAGGAAGTAGTTACCCACGAAAGAAAAATAAAACCGTACACTATCCAATAAGATTCTTAAATCCTAACGTCACTGAAAATTATCAGGAAATCTAGGCAGTCTAAAAATTATAAAAGAAATGTAATTCGCGAAATTTAGTGAACATAAATTAATGAGAAATCGCCAACCGGATTACTCGTATCTAGATTTTTCTTCCGCGAGAGCGATAAATAACTGAAGTTACTGCTTTCCGATCGATACGGCGATTTTTTCACGAAATAAAATATCGCCGATGTCCAATAACATATTCCCGCGTTATCATTGCATCACGTCTCCGAGTCTTCACGATTGCACGGCCGATCAACACTAAGTAACAAAATACAATACGCTTTACTCGTCACCGGAGCTTTTTATCTCCATAAAATATTACCGATCCGTGGCATCGTGTCCCCATAAGGTGCTCCAACGCGCGAACGTCCCCCCGTACGAAGCGGACGCCGCGTCGTCGATTCCCATAATGGGACAACGTTTATAAAACTGAAACCACGGGCAGCAGCGCCGCGGATAAAAGCCGGACAATATTCCCTGCGTGTCTCTCCATTAACATGACGGATTTGTGTTCGCGACGCGACGACCATCCTTCAGCAGCGAGGGGAAAAAAATGGCCTCCGGTAACTAACGCCGCGTAGGATCAACGGAACCATAGAAGACACGGTTCAACGATCAAAAGATAGAAGAAAGGGGCAGGAAGGCGGCTAAGGAATTACGAAAATAAGAAAAATAAAGGGTGGGGAGGGAGGATCGTTGACGGATTTATGCTCGCGACGCGACGGTTATCGTGCGGTGCAGAAAAAAGAGGCCTTCGACAGCTAATATCGCATAGAATCAAAGGAAGATGTGTTCTACGATCAGAAGGTAGAAGGATGAGACAAGAAAACTGTTCAAGGATCACGAAAATCGAAAAAAGAGACAGAAGAAAGAGAATTGTTGACGATTTTTGGATTGTTACGCGACAATCGCGGTTCAGCGAAGAAAAGGATTGGTCTTTGGTAAGTGATATCTCATAGAAGAGAAGATAAATTTAACTGTCAGACAGTAGAAGGAAGGGACAAGAAAACTGTTGAAGTCTTTAGTAACTAATATCGCATAGAATTAGCAAAAGATAAGTTCACAGATTAAAAGATAAAGAGAAGATACACAAAAACTGTCGAGGGATCAACCAAATCAAGAAAACAAAGAGGGAAGAAAGAACATCGTCAACAAGTTTCTGTTTACGATACGCCAATCACCTTGCAGCAAAGGAAAAGGCTTGCCCCCCGGTAGCTACCATCGCGCAGGATCAACGGCACCATAAAAAACACAAATTCAGTGCTAAAAAGACAGAACGAAAGGGTATACACCAGGAAACGAAGGATTACGAAAATCAAAGAAAGAAAAAGAAAGAAGGTGAACTGTTGACGAAGGAACACGAGAGAAAACAGAAGGAAGGATGGGTCAGAGGACGAAGAAGAAGAACGGGAAGACCTGGACAAGGTGAAACGAACGAGCAGAGAGAAGAGCGCGTAGGGCTTAGGGAAGATGAAAGAGGTAAGGTGGCGAGGAAAGAGAGTGGCGACAAAGAAAGAGGACGCAAGGAAGGAACAGTCGAGAGGTTCTGTTACCTGGTCCGTTCTCTTCTCCCTCTGTGACGGCAGGTCAGTGCTGCTGTACTCGTGGCCGAGGACGGGTGCGTTGGACGATTATGTGTATTTCCACGCAAACCTATCGGTACCATTTTTCTTCGTCGTTCCAAGTGAAAATGTTCGACGCGAAACAGTGACCCCCGCGGATGGCAGATCGGTTTCGTTGCTCGGCAAACTTATCAACGTAAGTGTACTACTTTAGCTACCGTTTTCCTTCTTCTCGTTCCCCTTTTCTCCCTGCGACGAAACGAAGAAACGAGAAGTTGCTGATCGATTTCGGTGAACTTGATAATGGGCATATAGCTGGGGAAAGGCACAGACTGGCCGTCATTTCCTTTCTATTTTTCCTTTACACGCGACATGGTAACAGGGTCAGTGTATCGGCCGCGAAAAGAAGTAAGACAGCCATTAACGGGTTGCATGGTCCTCTGGTTCGCACGGTGAAAAGCGTCGCGTGTGACACGCGCGTTGGGTCTCTTCGGCATCGCATCGTATCGCTTCGGCTCGTCTGCATGCTGGATGCACGCGGGAGGAGCGTTCGCGTTTCCCGATGCACGTGCTGTTGCCGCATGAATTCGGGCCAGCATGAACTGCCGTGTTTCGCTGAAGTTATGGGGGATCGATACGCTCGCGGGTAATTTATGAAACTGGCGTAACGAGCCAACTCAATTCTAGTATCGGAGATATTGTTTTCGCGTCGTTCGACTGACACGGGGAGAATGTTTGATGTCGTCAATTCCGAAACAGCACGAGTCCACTTTTTAACACTGGAATTATCAGACGAGTCAGAACGACCTATTCCTGATGTATTCTTTTTGTCGTTATTAAAAAGTTAAGATAGATATGAAAGATAAGACGGTAATAGGAAAACTGAATTGTAAAATAGTTAAAGTCTCGATAGATACACTCTTGGGGTTTCTATAAAGGAATTTCACAAAGTCGATTTAATTGCTTGGTAGTTTTGGTGTTAACGTTATCCATAGGAGTTATTGATTTAACCTGTTTTAGCTTACTCAGACCTATTTAGTAATATTAAAAATGTACGTGTAACAAAGGTGTATGTGTAGCCAATGCTTGCAGCAGGAATCAATACAATAGATAAGGAATGAATGAACAGAGATGAAAGGAAAGATTGATTTTCTTGAAATGTTGACTAGTTGACTAGTGCTGTTCTGGAATTCATAGCTTCATTTTTTTTCTTTCTTTTTTAATTTTTCAAAGGAGCACTGTTTCGCTTGGATAATTAATGCATACCTGCGACGATTCACGATTTTATACTGAATTTTAAATATTTTCGTTTCGATTTGTTTACTACTTTTTCAATTTTTGTATTACACGTTATTTTCCGATTTTGTTGTTGTTTATGTTAGGTTGAGCAATGGGGAATGGAGATTTGATCGTTTATTTGATGTTTGAATTCTTTTCAATTTTGTTTAAACTTTGATTATTTTCAGAGTATACTGTTTCTATAATGTATCTAGTGACGTTTAGTGTTTCTTAATTCGAATTGTAATTTGCTTAAATAATACGGACTTTTGAAGATTGGAATTCTTCTTTTAATTCTATTTTACATATTCATATTTTTTTACGTATATACCGTTTTAAATAATTAATACAAAGAACCAAATGGACAGTGTAATGTACAACTATTATACTTATAACAATGTGTATTATCTCGATTGTTATTAGATTGCCCACATTAACACTATTTCTACCGAAGCTGTCAAAAGACACCTTCTGAAATTTCAACTTAAAATTATTTAGGAAGTTTAATCACATATTCTGAATTGACTTTTCGACATTTCTAATAGCGATTATAAAATTAACTATTAGAAATGTCCAATATTCAATTAAGAAAAAATAATTAAATGGAGAAAATAATTTTAAGTCAGATTTTAATCAGATTTTTGTTATTCGTCCATCGAATATTAAGCAACAGGACTTTATTTATCGTTAAAAACTTTTTATCCAGCTGTTTCTACGTCATCTTACTTTCGAAAACCGAAGTTTCCTTCTAATTATACGTGGCACTGTAATGTTGCAAGTGTGTACCGTTTACAATGGTGACCACGGGGAAACAAGTAAACAGTGAGCAGATAATTTTAGAAACGCAGCCTCCTTCCATTCGCCGGGAAAAGTAAACCGGTGCATATTTCTCGCGGCTTCTCGCGTGTACGTTTGTACAAATACGTGAATAAGTTTCAAATAGGAAGCTAGTCAAGCCGGCGATTCCTTCGACAAAACAAGAACAGGTTTCGGAAGGAACTTTACTAACCTTGCGTGAAAGGTGCTGTCTCCTAAGATACCTGCATATATGGAAACAGGCTGGTAGCGGGACACACTTTTCCTTTGGAAGACGAATTTTTTACAAGATATCCGTAGTACAATGGCCGGACATAATATTCGTTTTCTTCCTTGCTTAGAATAAATCTTGTTTTAGAAAGCTGTGACATAGAATCCATGGTATACCAACGATTCTATTGAATTGAAGCAAAAGTTTTGACGTTTCTTTTATAAGAAACAGAAAGAAGAGTCTTTCAGATATTTTTATTGATTTAATGCATTATATAATTTATTCTATCATTATAAAAATGTTGTGATTTAGAAGAGACGAATGAATCGAGTGATATTTTTACTTGCTTTAACGAATGTTAAAACTTTTGCATCAGCTCAATAAATTGATTATACTTTTTCCATTTTAAAAGATTATCGAATGACATATTAATTACACATAGAGGACATTTTCAATTAGAGAAAAGAGGATAATAAAGGAAAGGTAATTAATACCTTTGAAATCTTAGGAAAAATATTTTAAGTTTTACTTATTTTGAAATAATAATTATACATGTAATCGAGCAGATGGTGAATTCAAAATATTAGGTGTATAGAAAAACTGATATAAATGCTTCGTCATTTTTCATAATTGTTTTATGACAACTTTTTTGGTGTATTTTATTTTGAAATAAATTCAATATACAAGGTGTTAC